AATATGCACAGTGTAAATCCCAAACAGTTTCTCTCTAAAAGATGGTTTATTTAAAGCACAAAGAACACTTACAATCAAATTACTTCCAACCTGGAGGACCAAGTCCTAACAAAACAACATTTATTCATTAATACAGTAGTTACACTTTAACATTTGATTCTAAATAAACAAAAAAAAAAGGTTTACTTTTGTGACAAAATGAAACTAGCAGCTTATACTTTGAGAATAGAACAACACAATGTTCTGTATTCAACCTCAGTCTTACAGGTTCCCAATTTTTATTACATTAAAAAGATAATGCGTACCTTCAGACAGTTTCGGTCAAATGACAGATGACTTGCTATGTCAATATTCCAATTTTAACCAAACCATCTATAAAATCTTTTAATAAATAATTAGTACTCTCCTTATTTGGTTATCAACATGTGCTCCCAGCCAATCACAAAGTGAAGAAACTTCAAATAACTAAGTTTCTCTTAAGCTAGGTTAACATAACAGCAGCTTTGTATTTTAAACATCAAACAAATAAACCAAACCTTAAGAATAATTTACTGAACCAACTTGTCAATCCCTGAATAGTTTATGTTAAAAATAGTACATAATCAACAAAACTTTTACACAACTCCAGTAGTTAAATACTTTTACAAATATTGCACTAACTTATTCTCTCGCTTTCTCTCTTAAAAAAAAATAAACAAATAACATTTACTACAAAACTGAGTAACAACATGTCCCTAAACACAGTAATAAAAGTTCTTAACAAAGGTCTCTAGCTTGGTGTTACTAACGGTCTACTCTACAAGTATTCCTGTACACTTACCGATCATATATTTGCAAGTAAACAATAATTATTTGATTAAAGTAATTTACATATATCCTGCCAGTAATAAATGCTGTATTATTATTATTATTATCATCATTGTTCTTACCCCACCAAAACTTCTCAAAATCATATTCTAACTTTAATATTTTACCTTAAGAATGCTCATCAGTAATACAGAAGATATCCCTGTGCTCTAAAGTAAATGCATATAATTAAACAACAGATAATAACCTTACAGGACTAATTTACCAAGACCAAATACAGCAATTAGCATTCCAAAGCAAACTTCTTTTCACTTATCCTTTTTAGTTGAAGTTGTATTACTTCACCAGCAACTTCTCAAAAAATTTGAGAGTTTTCTTTGCTCCGGGTTTATTTTTCTACCTGAAGAGCTATAATGTTGCTAACT